CTCTGCACCACTCTTTTTGAGGCAGGGTCTCTCACTGAACCCGAAGTTCACTGATTTGACTAGAATGGCTGGCTGGCCAGCTCCAGGGGGTCTCCTGTCTCCATGTTCCTTCCCAGTGCTTGGGATCACAGGTGAGCAGACCGCTGCATGTGGATGCCAGGGATTCAGTTCAGATCCTCATGCCTGCGTGGCAAGCACATCCCCGAGCCCTGCCTTTTCTTGTTTTCTTTACGTGTTATAAGACAGGGTTTTCATGTAGCTCAGGCTGCCCTTCAACTCACTTTGTAGCTGAGGATGATTTTGACCTCTGCCTCTGCCCCAAGGGCTAGGGTGAGAGATGCAAGCCACTTTGCCCAGCTCATTGTTATGTTTAAAAATACTTTTAAAAACTTTATTTTTATGTGTGTGTGTCTGTGTGTGTTCAAGTACTTTAGGGGAATCAGAAGAAGGTGTCAGATCTTTTAGAACTGGAGTTATAGGAACCATCAGATGTGGGGGCTGGGAATCAAGCTCAGGGCCTCTGGAAGAGCAGCGGGTGCTCTTAACCATTGAGCCATCTCTCCAGCACCCCATTCTCTATTTTTAATGAATAAAGTTGTATGGAATAAGGGAAGCTTTTGTGATCCCATACTGCTGGCTGCTATTTCTGTTCAGAAGCCTGAAACATTCACGGCCTTGCCCTCCACAAAGTTATCTTGGTTTTTCTCCTAGGCCAGAAAGTCACAGGATGGGATTTTGTGAGAAACTGATGTTTTAGAGTATTCAAAATGTAAAACAAAGTCTTTCTGGTCAGTCCTCTATGGCTGCATCAAGTATGGTCCTTCCCTTAACCCATAGATCCAAATAGAAACCTTGTAAGTTATCCTGGGCCCATGGAAGATGGGTGGCTAATCACCCTGTTACGGGGGAAATGTCACAGAGAAACCTGTCCAGATGGTATGTAGGGATTTATGTGAGAAACTTGCTACACAAAAGCCCAGGGTGCCCTCTTGGTGGGCACCACCCAGGCTTGGGGCTTAAGGACAGGGGAGAATAGGTGTTTAGACAGAAGGGTAGTTTGCGTTGCTCAGGAACTCCTGCCTGTCCTTCAGGATAATTTCAATCATCCACTGGGCTCCACGAGTACTTTAGTTGACCTAATTAAAGCTTGCATTGCTATCTTAACTAAGAAAATGCTACTTTCAACTGTATTTGAAAGAAAAGAAAAAGAATAAATATTATCAAGACCATCTCTTAGAAGATTAGGACAAAAAAAAAAAAATCCAAGAGGAGAGGCTTCAAAGCTGTTTTTGTTTTCCCTGGCTTTGAAATACATAGACAGCCCGATAATTTTGTCTTCCTCAAAATATAGCAAATATAGTCTATTTACTGTCTTCAGGCAATTCCATACATAAATTAAAACACACACACACACACACACACACACACACACACACACACACACACACACGCACGCACACATACACCACAAAGCACTTTAAAGAAAACCCTCCCGTGAGCCCTCATCCGTCATTTCTCTTCCTGTGGTGAGGGCTTTCTGCCGCAGATCAATGCAATTTGAAAGTTTCAGAGGTGATTTTGTTTTTCACGTTTTGCCATTTGATGAGTTTTCAGATGGCCATCTAAAGACCGGATTACACGCGGTCTCTCCCTGATCTCAGCAGCCTCGGGATGAGCTACAGCATTGAGAGATCCTGAGCAGAGATAGAGGCCCATTTCATCTTGTTTCTCCAAGTCAGCTTTTCAATGAGCTCCAACACAAGGCTGAGTAGACTCATGAAAAACCTTTTTTTAACCTCAAGAATAGTGTTTCTGCTTCTCATCATCATATTTAGTAGGAAAGTTGCTTTTCCATTTCAAAGAAAGTCTTTCTAGGCACAAAGTGTGCCATAAAAAAAAAATGTGGAAAGACGGAGCGATTCCTTTTCACTGTATTTCTGAATGCACTGGGTTGAAAGTGGGATATGATAGTCTTATTTCCCTAATTAAAAAAATTTTTTCAGGCAGCTACATGGCTTTGTGGCACCAAAAGAAAAAAATAATCCCAAAGCCAGGCATGATGGCACAACATGCTTATTTATATCCAGGGTTGGGAGGTAGAGACAGGTGGATTCTTGAAGCCAACTGGCTGGTAAGCCCAGCGTAATTAGCCATCTCCAGGCTAATTGACAGACACTGTCTCAAAAATACAAGGTGAGTGGTGTCCAAGGAATGACAGCTGAGGTTGTCCTTTAGATGTCTCACACACATGGACATGTGCAAATGTGAATTGCACGAACATGCACTTGGACACTTACATTCACATACATACATACACACACACACACACACACACACACACACACACACAACCATCAAGTTTTGGTAGAAGATGAGTTTTTGTTGTTTTATTTTTTTAAATTCAGATTCTCAGTATACAGTGCTGGCCTTGAACTCTTGACTTTCCCTTTGGGGTGCCTAGTCTCAAATGTTCAGTCCTCCTTCCTCAGCCTCCCAAGAGCTGGGGTGCTGTGGGATGTCTTTCTTTATGCTGTGAATATGTGTGGCTCCCATTGGATAACAAATAAAGCTGTTTTGGCCTATGGCAAGAAAGCTTACTTACAGCCAGGCAGGAAATCCAAGCAGAAATACAGAGAGAAGGGAGGAGTCGAGAGAGATGCCAGCCCACCGCCAAAGGAGCAACAAGATGCCAGCAGACATGGCAACATATAGGTGAATCGGAATGGGTTAATTTAAGATGAAAGAGCTAGCTTCCCAGAAGCTGAAGCCGTAGGCCATATAGTTTGTAATTAATATACACCTCTGAGTGGTCATTTTATAGGGGACTGTGGGACTGCTGGGCTGGCAGGAAGGAGAAACTTTCCTCTACACTGGGGTTACGGGTATGCACCACTACGCCCACCAAAAGCATGCATTTTGAAAGGTGTAATTGGTTATTTTGTTTCTTTCTTTGGTCAAATCATTTAGTAGTCCCTTGAATGAACCACATAAATGTACTTAGCAGGGAAACAGAATCGGGGTACGTTTCTTCCCGTGTGTTTGTCCGTGGTCCAGGGCAGTGGAAGGGATGGCAGTACAGTGTAGCAGGCACCCCACAAACCCCCTCCCTGAAGTCACCCCTAGTTCCCGGCGATGTGTAACAACAAGACGGATTGGTTGGCTGGCTGACTGATGGATCCCCAAGCTTCATTTCTAAAAAAGACATTATCAATAGTGCTCATCAAATGGTATGGCAAAAAAAGCAAGTGGACGGATGAGATGGAGGTCAGCTGGCTCTCACGCTTGCTGTCAACGAGGATAAATGTCCATCTCAACCCTCCTGTGAAGAACAGATCCAGTACCCTGATCCAGCTCGGATAGCTCCTTGGCCCAGGCCACTGATGTCACCTCGCTTTTTCCCCACTTCAACTTCCTCTGAAATATCAGGGAGCTAGGCTGGCAAGATGGGTCCACAGGTAAAGGTACTCACTCCATAAACTTGGCAGCCTGAGGTCAATCCCTAGAACTCACATAAAGGGGGGAGGAGAGATCCAACTCCACAAAGTTGTCTTCTGACCACCCATTCACCATGGGATGTGCACCTGCAACACACACACACACACACACACACACACCATGGGAGTCCTTACAGGCATGGTTCAGAAGTGACCAACTTCTTTTGACTCCTGACTGCAAAGGTAGGGACCTGTTAGTTGCAAACAACTGACTATCCAGTTAAAGTAGCTATATAATTGGGTGGAGGAGTGTGTTTTCCTTACAGAATAATTGTGGTGGTTTAAATAAGAATGGTTCCCATCAGCTCATATATTTAAATGCTTAGTCACCAGGAATTGGCACTATTTGAAAGGATTAGAAGTATGGCCTTGTTGGAGGAAGCGTGTCACTGGGGATGGGCTCTGAGGTTTCAAAAGCCCAGGACATGCCCAGAATCTCTCTCTCTCTCTCTCTCTCTCTCTCTCTCTCTCTCTCTCTCTCTCTCTCTCTCATCAGGAGGTAGCTCTCTGCTATTACCCCAGCACTTGCCTGTATACCCTCATGTTCTGCGCCATGATGATAATGGACTAAACGAAGCCTCTCAAACTGTGAGCAAGCTCCCAGTTAAACGCTTTCTCTCCTAATAGTTGCTTTGGTCCTGATGTCTCTTCACACCAAGAGAACAGTGACTAAGGTAACATAAACTCCACAGGCATTGGTTCTAAACAAAGGGCAAAAGTGGTATTCAATATACTTCACCAACATACACCAGCCTCAACAACTCAGGAGCAAGGCCTGGTCAGTGAGAAGACAGCTCAGCTCTCACAGGTGTGGCGGGCTGAGTCCCGTCCCTAGTTTCATATCAGATCAGCGGCTCAGTGCCACCAGGGTTTGTTTGGGCCAGCTTCTGAAAGGTTTCCTTGGCCCTCTCTTTATGGGGATATGTTCGCCACGCCTCCAAACGTCACTTCCTGTCTACCAAAAGAGTCTAAAAGCTAGAAGGGAAAGAATGAATGCTTCTTCCGTTGTACTTAAAACAATGATTACAATGTGTGTGTGTGTGTGTGTGTGTGTGTGTGTGTGTGTGTGTGTGTGTGTGTGTCTGTCTGTCTGTCTGTCTGTCTGTCACAGCTCATGTGTGGCTGTCAGAGGACAACTTATAAGATGTGTCTGTCTGTCTGTCTGTCTGTCTGTCTCTGTCACAGCTCATGTGTGGCGGTCAGAGGACAACTTATAGGGAGTTGTTTCTCTCTTCCCATCATATGGATCCCGGGATGGCATTCAGCTCCTCAGACTCGACAGCCAGCTCTTCTTCCTGCTGAGCCACACCTCACTGGCCCCTCAGTGCCCTTTTCATCAGGGAAATCTCTCCCAGAAGCCCACGCACTCTCCTTTTTAGTATTTGCCAGGATTGGGTCAAATAAGCTTCCCCCCCTTTTCCTTGCAGCACTGGGGGGTCAGACCTGGGACACTGTTCATGCTCAGCGTGTGCTCTGCGACTGAGCTACAGGCCAGCCAGCACTTACCATCACTTCCACTGAGCGCAGGAGTCTAACAGCGGTTGGCTTGGACCAATCGTGGTTCATTCTCTAAGGACTGCCTGAGTCCCCTGCCTCTGCGCCTGCGCCAAAGAACGTGATTACCTGTTGAGAAGTAAATCAGTAGCCGTTTGTTCCGAGGCGGGCAGAGCGGGGCACAGTAAGGGAGAGTCTGGGTAACGCCTGCTACGATGGGTTTCCAGCACAAGCTAACTTACATTTTTTTTTTCTTTTTTCTCTTTTTTGTGGGGGGAGGGGGTTTTCAAGACAGGGTTTCTATTGGTGAAATTATTAAGGCCACTCCACATAGTTAAAAGGGAGATTTATCTAGTGGCGTAACTTACAAATGAAGGAATAGGTAGGTGGCGGGTCTAGGAAAGATGAAGCGCAGTCCGGCCGTGTTCTCTGGAGAACTCTCCTCGGTCTACCTCTAGCGTCCAGGGTCCAGGAAACAAGAAAGCGCAGTGCATCCAGATCTCGGGTCTTCAGGGCTCTCTCTTGGCACCGTCTTGTAGGTGTGATAGTTACCGAAGCCTCAATGGGTGCTGGAACTTCCAGACCAAAGCTGGAATGACTACCCACTACGGGTTTCTCTGTGTAGTTTTGGTGCCTTTCCTGGATCTCACTCTGTAGACCAGGCTGGCCTCGAACTCACAGAGATCTGCCTGGCTCTGCCTCCGGAGTGCTGGGATTAAAGGCGAGCGCCACCACTGCCCAGCTAACTCACATCTTTTATTGTGCCCAATGGGTGGGTTGGGAGTGGGGGACCTTGTGACCCACTAGTATAGACCCTTTTCTCAGAGCATGTGATGTAGAGCTCTTCAAGGCTGGGACGGAAGCCCTGCCCCAACTTCTGTAAGGAACGCTAGAGAGCCCTAAGGGCAGAAATTTCAAGTGGAGTGCCTCAGTGGGTCATATTTTACCCAGATTCACAAAGTTTGCTTAATAGCCTCTTCTGCTGCCACACTCAGGCTCCTTCTGTAAAACGTACAAAGCACTCATAAAGGCACAAAAATTAATTATTTAATTAATCGATTGATCCTAGGTTATCCTAAGGTGGGAGACTCTTTGGCCCTATGGCTACTGAAGGACTCAGCCCTGTGGGAAGTGAGCATTGAGTGTCTGAGTCCTCCATGGGTCCACTCCTCCATATGGTGATGGACTCTACTCTGTGAGTGAGGAAGCCCAATGCCGTTGGAAAAGGCCCCAGCTGTTAAGAGAAGCACGCTTAGAAAGGAGACGAAAGGAACCGGAAAGTTTTTTTTTTTTTGTTTTGTTTTTCAGAATACTTCAGAAAAGTGGGCAGATTTGCAGTACAATATGACTGCAGCCCATAAGCCCCTGCCTAGACACACCTCTTAATGTCACATTTTACAAACCAATTCAGAAATCTCGCTCTCAGTCCAAACCAAGATACGGTGCCTGCGAAGGTATGCCACAGCCCCCATGGGGGAGCTAGCCACACTCAACCTCTCTACCGCATGCAGTAGCCTAACACATTCATACACAACCATCACCTTCTGGTAGGTAAGCAACCTGTTCTTGGCATGCTCACAGGTGACTCCTTTGGACCACTAATTTTTTCTCTCTCTGTTTCTCATGCGGCACCTTTGCCCAGGTTGAAGGACGGTCTTTGACTTGTATAGTTCAGAATGAGCATGAAGGTTAGCTTTGGTCAGAAACTCCAGGCATGGTGGTGGACCCCTTTAATCCCAACACTCAGGCATGGAGGCAAAAGGATCAACAATCCAAGGTCGTTCAGTTGTCCAATGAGTTCAAGGCCAACCTGGAAAAATGAGACACTGTCAGAGAGAGAGGGGGGAGAGAGAGAATCTTTTAAAGTGAGCTTCTAAAACCAGATGTGGCAACACACCCTTGTAATCCCAGGTTTAGAATGCTGAGGCAAGAGGCTTGAGATTCAAGGATAGCCTGAGCTACATTAGCAAAACTGTCTCAAGCCCCTCCTTCAAAACATGAAGTTTCAGGGGAAGGATGGATTAAGGGAGGATGCATTTCATCAGAGCAGGTTGAACACTTGTGTGGAAATATCACACCAACCTATTAATATACACTGTTAATACATATAAATTAAAAAATTTAAAAATAAAGTAAAAAAAAACAGGGCTGGATACGGGAGCACTTGCTTGGAACGCATGAGGTTGTAGGTTCATTTCTCAGCACCATAAAAAAATTTAAAAAGTAAAAAAAATGAATGCAACACACCGTTTAAAATTGTGTGTATTCGAATGTGCATGCGTGCTTGGGTGGATGGGACGATCATCCTCCAATATGGTACCTCAGGCACCATCTGCCTTCGGTTTGGGTTTGGTTTTTGTGTTTGTTTGTTTGTTTGTTTGTTTGTTTGAGACGAGGTTTTTCACTGGGACCTGGGGCTGCCAGGTTACTCTGGGCTGGCCAGCCAACAAGCCCTGAGGATCTGCCTGACTCCACTGCCCAGTTCTGGGAGTACAATGCGTGCTACCAGGCCAGGCTTTTTACATTGCACCAAGGCTCAAACTCAGGTCTTCATGTTTACACAACCAGACTGAGCCGTCTTCTCGGCCCATTGTTAAGGTTTTGATTTTTTGTTTTTAATAAAGAAAGTAAACTTCTAAGAAGAGCAGAAAGCTCCAAACCAGCTTCTTGAGAAGTGGAGCGAATCGGTTGCTTTCGTCTAAACTATTTTTTCCATCGCTAAATGTTACACAAATTATAGCCTAGACAGCCAGAGAACCATTTATGTAAAAGCTCCAGTAGGAAAAATGTCACGATCAAAATGAAAGGTTTGGCCTGTAGAACTTGTGAGGGTTTTCAGTGCTCCCCTCCCCAATCCTTGTCTGTGAGCTGTTTTCCTATTTATGTCCCCACATTTTGAATCAAATTCTAGGAATCCCCTTTTTGCTTTTTTTCTGCATCTTTCCTACTTAAAGATCTCTTTAGAAATCTGCAGGAGAGCCCTGAATAGGTGTGTTTATGCCAGTGGGAGCTTTGGCGGTGATTTTTTTTTTTCCTCTCCTGAAAGGGGTCCTTCAAGAAGTTTCCCTCTCCCGGGGAGACAGCGGCCAGAGTTTCCTGAGGGAGGTGGCCATTCTGCCAAGCTCAGAAATGGAAAGCTGTCATCGAGTCCCAGGCCTTTAGATAATGGGGAGCCTGTTCTGCTAAGCTCCCCTCAAAGCCCAGACTGACCGGCCACACAACGGTGAGACTGACGAGCACCTTCCCCCAAATGCAGGAAACCCACTCATCAGACTCTTCCTTCGGGAGGAATGGGAGGCTCAGGTCAAGCGCCCACTTTTTGCCACTTTGACAGGGGGAGATGGGCATTAGCAGCAAAGGGCTTCTGGGGGTTGTTCGTTTAAATTTTTTAAAATATTTACTTTTTCTGTGTGTGCACACACATGGGGAGGAGTATGTAAGGAGGTCAGAGGACAACTTGGAGGAATCTCTTCTCTCCTTCTCTCCTGTGGGTCCGGGGTCCTGGGAGTAGAACTCCAGCTCTGCCGCAAGCGCCCTTACAAAGTCATCTCCTCAGTCCCCAAACCTCATTTTTTTAAAGCTTGTGACGCTTCAGGTTTACAGGAGCTCGATTATGTGTTCAGTCATTAACCCAGGATAAGGGCCGGAAACCTAGCACCGTGAGCCAAGATAGCTAAAAACAGAATCGGATGAGGACACCCCAGTCGGAAGCTGCCATCTTTCGTGTGCTACTGCTTTGAGGCCGGCCAGGGTCTCTTGAAGCAGCTCCATGGGGTAAAATGAGCAAGGGATTGAGCCTTCTGAGGGTGAAGTCTGGCTCTGCCTGCAGTTCTGGGAAAGTGACCTAATCGCTGTGTTCCCTTGACTTTCTCAGAAAACAGGATTCATCTTAAGCACAGAATGGCAATGAAATATTATATGGACATCTCAGGCACTCCGGTAGCTAGAATGATGTTGAATTATTGCACTGGGCTGTTTTTATTGTTGTTGTTGTTGTTAGGAGGTTTTTGTTTTATCTTTTTTTTTTTTTTAAGATTTTTTTTTATCATGTATACAGTGTTCTGCCTGCATGTGTCCCTGCAGGCCATTAGAGGGCGCCAGATCTCATTACAGATGGCTGTGAGCCACCATGTGGTTGCTGGGAACTGAACTCGACCTCTGGAAGAGCAGCCAGCGCTCTTAACTGCTGAGCCATCTCTCCAGCCCTTGTTTGTTTTATCTCGACAAAGGTTCTCATATATTCCAGGTCGGCTTCAGCCTCTGACCCTCTTGTGTCTACCTTCCAAGGGCTCGGATTATAGGCATGTGCCAACATCCTTGGTTTATACAGCGCTGGGAATTGGTCCTGTGCGTTCTAGACAATACTTTACCAACTAAGTCACACACACACCCTTTTATTAAGACAAGGCCTCACTGTGCAGCCCTGGCTGGCCTGGAATTCACTATGTAGACCAGGCTTGTCTCAAACTTGCAGTGATCCTCCTGCTTCTGCATTGATGGGATTATGGGCATGAGCCAGCAAGCAGGCCTTTATCTGAGTACTCCACCTGAGTACTCCATCTGAGTAGACTGGATATGTGTTCTGACCCGTGTGATTCCAGAGGTCTCAGGGGCTCCTTCCATTAAGTTAGTCATATAATTGGCCAATTGTGGCATTGCATTGTTCTATTCCATATACTCTTCACTTTGAGACTTGGGGTGCTCCTATGCAGGCTATTCCTAGGCTTATATCATAGGATCCACATGGATCCTCTAAGCTCCTATCTGGAAGGGGCATAGGTCACTTCTGCCAAGTGTCACTGGCCCAGGTCATATAATCAAGTCCACTCTTAATAAAGTGGGAATGTGGCCTTGGGAGCCGCTAAGTCAGTTACATGCCTGCCATGCACCCATGAGGATCAGAGTTCAGATGCCCAGAACCCAGATAAAAAACTGGGTGTGGTGGTATGTGCCTGGAAGGAGAGGTACGTGCCTGGGGCGGGAGAGGAATAAAGAAAGGACAGATGGGCCCCTGAAGCTCATTGGCCAACCAGCCTAGCCAATCAGTGAACTTAAGTTTCAGTGAGAAACTCTTGTCTCAAAATGTAAAGGTTCCTAAGCTTCCTAATTGTCTCTCTCAAATGAGCGGCTGCCAGTTTGAGCTA